GATGTCCTGCTGATCTCTCAAGTTTTTCTTCTTGAGATAAGACTATGGGCTCATGTGAAGAGAAGGGAAGCAGAGCTAGGCTCTGGCTAGGAGTCTGTCTTTGTGTGGGAGATCTTGTTATATGGTGTCCCTAAACTTTTATGCAGCAGATTCTGTCCTGCTCATGAATCCAGACACTAGATGCAGTGAAGCAGCTGGTCAGGGGTGCAAGCAGGTGGGTCTGGTCCATGGGGTCTGGAGAGGGACACTGGTGATGTAATTCTGCTGCAAAAATGCAGGCAGTTGGGCTCTCCCCTCTGAAGAAGAGGAGTGGGGAGGATGGCACCAACTCATGTGCACACAACACTGTGGGACAGCATTTGGAATCAAGCTGTGCCCCGTCTCTCAATCACGGCACAACACAGCGTCCCAGTCCTCACTTGGGCAACACAGACTACCTCTGAGCTGCAGCAGCCTGGTTTGGCTGAGAGAAGCAGCCAGCTCGCCACTGAATGAACCAACCAGGTGCTTTTCACATGCAAGAGGACAGAAGCCAACCACTGGTCAGCAACAGGGCTCATTTATTATCTCACAAGAATGAATGACTTATACAACTGCAGTAATGTCAGCAGAACCAAAGCTTTGCCCACGGCCTGAGCTCTGACCGTGGGTTCCCTGCCGTGTTGGGCGGCAGTAGGAGGGTTTATGATGGAGAGGGTGGATTTGGGAGATCCCTGAGCTGCAGGGAGCGAATTTGAGATTGTTCCCAGTGGCCTTTGTCCTCTTGATGCCATCATCCCACAAGGCTGATTTCAGTTCCCTCCTTGTACACGAGCTGCCCTTAAAACAGTGGAGGGCAAATGCAGCCCCTGAATCAGCTATTCTTCGTGGAGGACATGTACCCAAGAACCAACAGCCTCTTCCAGGAGTGAGCTTTGGGGACAGTGAGGGAGCCAGACACCATTTCCAGTGCTCCTGACCAGGACCCAAGTGGCTGTAGGCAGGAGTACCCTGGGTGTGCTGCAGTGTGCGAGGGTGGAGGGAGTGATGAAGGTGGAGGGAGCCCAGTGTTCTTGGGTGCCCTGGCCAGGCACTGATGAGTGACTTCAGGCAAAGCACATATATTTCTCCAGGGAAGCTTTTGGATTTGGCTGCCTTAGGGTTCAGAGATGCCTTGTTAGAAACTGTGGACCAGATGGAAAGAAGGGCTGTACATCCCCAGCTCCTGGTATCATCTGAAAGTGGGTCCTACCCAACACGTGAGGCTCCCAGTGAATGAAGTGGAGCCTCCCAAAACAGAGGTGGTCCAAACCTCAGGTGCACACATGGATACAATGCTTTTAACCCACTTCCTCTACTCTTCCAAGTCGATGGCACAGGGCAGACACAAGCCCATTTCCAGGTGCCTGTGGGACCTGCGGAGGATACTGGAGGACAAGGTCTGAGGTCCCTATGGCTGGCCATGTCATGGCAGTCAGTCATTTCCATGTGTTTCTGCCACAGAGCAATGACTTTTGCTTGCTAAGACATCTCTGGCTTGAGAAGACATGCTTGGCTTTGCTGCAGGCTCCTCCTGGTTTGCGATGCTCTAGGGTGATGAGGAGGAGGGTCTCCCTGACCCACCTCCTGACCTGGTGGGGCTCTCTTCCAGGTAGTCCCTAGCAGGGGAAACACTCACACAGGGGGTTTATATCCTCCCATGGCCAGCCCTGAGTATCTGGAGCTCAGTCAGAGCCCTTCCAGGTGAATGGCAGCTGGCAGAGCGGTGCCGGTTGCCCAGGTAGATATGATGGGGGGTAAGGGTAGACGGGTTGTACTGGTACTTTACATGGAGCAGCCTGCAGTCACCTTGCTGGCCACCTGGCACTGGGGCTGGCCCTCAGTGTGTGATGTGGGGCTGTTTGGCACAGCTACTCAGAGGAGGTTTATAAGTGAGATGTGTAGGGTGGTGTGGGAGGGGAGGGGAAGAAGGCTATCCGGAGGCTGCTGCCAGGTGGGTCTCGACTCTCTGAAGCAATCAGCACCTCACTGTCATTGAGGCAGGGACAATGCTCAGAGAAGCCCCTCTCCTTCCCCCTGATGCCCACTCTTTGTTGGCAGGGTACAAGTGTCATGGAGGGAAAACTGTAGCTGTCAAGGATAGGGTGCACTCCCATTGAATCAGATGTCTCAAATATGTGATCAATGTCAGAGAAGCTCACCAGAGCCTGGGTGGAGTCATAGGAACTTTTTTCCATCTCATCAACCCCGCAGGACTGGGAGTATCTCCCCTTGTCCTGGCCCTTCTGCCTCAGGAGGCGGAGGTCATCTTTGAAGTGGGGGTTGAAGAGCAGGTAGAGCAAGGGATTCATGCAGGCGGGCAAGGGCAGGACCACAAGGAGGACAGATTTGATAACCTCTGGGGTGATGAGGAACAGGTTGAGTGTAGAGGAGAAGGTGAGGAAGGCCACCGGGCAGTAGAGGAGACAGTTGGTGAAGATCAGCCAGGCCACATGCTTGACCATGGCACAGTCCCAGACAGCGCTGAACTCCCCCTTCAGCAGGTTGCAGTAGAGTCGAATGTAGGTGCCCGTGATAGTCAGGAAGCAGAGCATGTTTGTCATCACCAAGGCCACAGTGAAGCCCAGGGTAGCGTGTTTCCCGTCCGGGATGGGATATGGGAGGCAGAGAGGGGATACTCCATATTCCCCAATGGAGAAGAGAGGCAGAATGGCAGCCACAGAGGACAGCAAGAGGCAGCAAAAGGCAGCAGCCTTGACCTTGCCTAAGGAGGGTGACTTTCCATAGGCCTGCACACAGGAAATTGAAATGCTGCACTGCACGGCAGCCAATGTCAACAGAAAGATGGCAGATTCGGAGGCAAACACTGACAGGAACCCTGTCACCCTGCAGCCTGCGCCGGTCTCCCACCTGGCACCGTACTTGGCAAACTGGCCGTAGGTCAGGGCATCGACAAGAGCCAGCATACTGCAGTAAATGCCAGTCAGCATGTTGGCTCCAGCTATGGAACCGATGATAAACTTAAGTGGAGAGAGGTAGCTGGGAGAGGCAAAGACGGCCAGAATGACCAGCCCATTGCAGAGCACTGAGACCAGGACAATGACCCAGACTCCCAGGCGGATGATCCAGCTCTCAAACAAGTGATCACAAGGCTTGAAAGGACCTGGAAGAAAACAAAACCCAGAGTTAAACCCAGAATATACCACTCTACTGCTGCTGCTCAGAGCAGCGGCCAGGTCCCAGCCCTGTCCTGGCCCCACCAGCCCCTTGCCTGTTGAATGCCAAGGGCTTGGAAAGGAGCCTAAAACATTGTCTGCCCTTTTCTGAAGCAGCATGGCAGCAGTGCTGCCTCTTGGCTCTGTCTCAGCTCCCCTGTGCTCCTGATCCACACTGGGGTGCCTCTGGCATGCTGGCCAGGTTCTCCTCTCGGATCTTGTCCAGGACAGAAATGAAGTGCAGGGAGCGATCATATGCAAAATGTGAGAAATGGCAAACTTATCAGAGTTCTTAAAATATAAAACTTTGGGGTCTGGCATTGCCACCCCATGACTGAATGTATGGAGAAGCCTTTTTGCTGTCATGTCCCACACCTGCCCTACACTGAATCCCATTCAATGAGGTAGAGTCTGACCTCCAGGTGGGCCTTTGTCCAAAGGAACTCATGACCACAATGCCCCACATTTCTATGGGACTCCAAACCCGCTAACACTCCTGGTGTCAGCCCAGGCCACTCTGCCGTTAGCTGCTCCTTCTCATTGTACCCCCTGGGATCTTGGAGTTAGTGGTGTGGGGAGGTGCAAGAGATGGCAGGACACACTGCTCTGACAATTGACAACCTCTGCCCTTATGCTTAAGACTTTGGCTAAGTGGTGTCTTATTGTTTCTGCATGAATGACCTCTGCAGAGGGGCTGACTGACAGGAGATGAAGTGTTAGAGCAGGAGGGAGAAACAGCAGGCAGGGAGGGAGCTGGGGTGGCAGGGAAGGGACAGAGGGGCCTGAGCAAGGAGAACATGGGAGGATGTCAGGAGAAAGAATGGTGGAGGATGGACATGGAGAGAACAGGGAGTGAGGAAGGAAGGCCATAGAGGGGTGAAAAGGGGACTGGTGGTGCATGCTGTTTGGCAAAGGAAAAAGAAGAGAGGGGGGAGACAGTGCAATAAGAGAGAGTTGCCTCTGGGAGGGATTCGGATGTTACAGCTAGGGGCGAGGGGCAGGAGCTCAGCAAAACAAGAAATAGGCTGGGCTAAGCTTGAGGTGATAGAAAGCAAGAGAAATTAGAGGAAACTGAGCAATCTTATTCAGCTCAAAGTGGGTGGAGGTCTTTGGCTGGCTTTCCTCAGAGAACCAGCACCTCTCTGTACCCAGGCAGCAGGGCATGCCCTCTGCTAAAACCTTGTTCCTTCTTGTCTCTTTTGCAGCTAACTCAGTGGGACAACTGGTGACAACTCCATCACTTCCAGTGTTCTACAGGCCTCTCCAGCCTCCAGCTGTGCTTGTGGGCACCCCTGAGCTGTGAACAGGGACAAACTCAGAAGGCAGAGCTCGTGGCATCTCCCTTAGCTCCCTTTCTCAGGATATGGAGTAAGATGACTCTGCAGTTGCAGTGCTGCAAGTGTGATCAAGGACAAGGTCTTGTCATGCAGTTTTCTAGGCTGGCTGGGACAAAGCAAAGTCCAAATCTTGCAAGAGAATGGGAACTTCTTGAGAGCCAGAGTCTGACTGCGGGAAGGTTGGTGGATGGGGGAGGTGGTGATTCCTGGGACTCCTGGCCAGGGATACCATGACCTTGTCCTCTCCTCATCTGAGTGGGTGAAGGAAGCTCCTCACTTGTCCCCAGGCTGGCTAGAGCCCAACCATTCAAGCTTCAGATCTGCATGTCTGTGAGACACTGCAGGAAGGGTCGTGGGATCCTGGGGATTTAGGGAAGGTCAAAGGATCTCACTTGTATTCAAAGCAAAGAGTTTCCTGGGCTGCTCACCGGGGCTCGGTGTGCACTGAATAGTGGGGTGCAGCTTTGATTCCTCAAGGTCCAGCTGGAGGTCATCTGCATCTAGGTCATCTGGGGAGAAAACAACAGAGAAATGATGCTCAAACAAGAATGAGCAGGACCATCAGGACCAGCTGGGCCAGAAGCTTTTCCCATGGAATGTCCTCAACACAGACCTTCCCAGCCAGTTCCCAGCCCACAAGTTCAAAGTAGCTGCTGGTGTCCAGTTTGTCCCCTGCAGTCGCTGCTGTAGAGAGAGAAGGTCTTATAAATGTTGGTGGGTTGCAATGTGGCCAAACCCTGTTTTTAGGTTACTCCCAGCATTTGAAGTGTAAGAGCAGCAGATCCCAGAGCTGTGTGGCTGCAGATCCCTCCTTCCAGTGTGCTTTATTAAAAATAAATAAATATTCTACTCTATGTGGTTACAGAAAACAAAGCCTTCAAATGCATCTTCTAAATGGAAGCTTTCTGGACAGGCCTTGTCCAATGCTAGTTCATCAACAAGGACTTTGGAGCTTTGTTCAAAGAGAGCTGTAAGCCTCTACTTGCAGCACAAATTCTTCGTCAGCAACCACCACTACCACCACCAACAGTTCAGAAGCAAAAAGACAAGAGAACCCAACATTTATTGCTTTGTTTTATGTCCTATGATTTCTTGGGACTGTGGTGCTTTGTTTTTACCCCAGAGGTTCCCAGTCCTGGATTTGCTTAAAGGCAAACTGACTGACCATGCCTGCAGACTTGGGATCTGTGGGGTTTATGCAACCAGACTTCACTGCCCTCACTGACCAGCGTGCTGGGCCAGCATCTCCATCATGCTGGCAGCTGTATTCTGAACCAGGCTTGGGCTCTCTGAGGGCCAGGCAGAGACTCCCTCACTGAAGATGAAGCTGCTGGATGAGAATGGGGCTGAGACCTCAGCTGTGTTTTTGATGGCCTGTAGGTGTAGGTCATCACCAAGGAGAACTGCATCCTCTTAATCTAATCCAATAAATACTTTTTTGCTTTGTTCCTTGTTCTTCTTCTCAAACTACTGCTGATTCACAGTGCTGGGACATAGTGAGGACAACTGCTGTCCCACTGCACCGTCCCCACCCATGGCATTAGAACGATCTTCTGGATCTCTGGAAGTTTTTCTGTGTGTGGGAGGAAGGATGTGTTTTGTGCTTGCCACAGCCCATTAGCCATGGAACTGGATCTGTGGCAGTAGGGTGAATGCTCCCTTGGATTATATGGACAGATGCTGGTGCCCAGGTGTGCACCTGGCGGCTGAGACACTGGCCAGGAAAGTGAGTTTCCACAGTGCTGAAAATATGGCGAACTTAAGTGGGATTTAGTTGTCCAATCTGTTTAGAAATGGTGCCTCTCATGAGGTCTGCTCCCTGCCTGTGCTTGAAAATATAACTGAGATTATTTGATTAAAGAATGATGACAAATAACGTGCTATCTTTAGTGCCTCCTGACGAGCATTGTGGCTTTCTCAGCTTCAGTGAGCTTTGGAAAAAAATGCCATTTAAAAAATCTGTCTGTATAAGAGTTGAAATATTGCTGCTGCTTTGGAATCTGGCAAGAAAACACTCACAGTGGGATGGAAAAATATTTCCTCCTTGTATTTTATAGTCTTATAAATCTCCAGTGTTTTTTTCCATCCACAACGTGGAGGCTGTGATGTGCAGCCACGATACTTAAATCAGTGCAGAGACTTGCGCTTTCTGTGTCCCCCTGCCACCCAGCCTATGGTAATGTTTAACTGTAACCCACCTCCATCTCTTTTCTCTTCAAAGGGCCAGAATGCACAAAGGCTGGTTTTAAGCCTAGGTAAAACATTGACATGAAATGAAGAAAAGTTCTTTTGTTTTGCCTAAGCTATGGAGCTAGCTGTGAATTGCAAAGGAATCCTTGGCCAGCACAGCGGGATTCAAAGCAGAAGAGGTACCTCTCTGCTGGAAATCAGTACTTCTCCCTGCCTGGGAACTGTAGAGAAAAGAAAACGGCTGTTGTGTTCTAGCAAGGCAGACTGCATTGTTTTTGAAGTAGCCCTTAATTATTTGACTTTTGCTAAGGCGCCTTCCACTTTCTGCAGCCTTATAGAAAAAACCACTTTACTAGTAATGCCCTTTCCATGGAAAATGGTTCCCAGCTGGCTGTACCAACACTGAAGTGAGAGGAAGAGGAGAAGAATTGCTGGAGAAAGGGTAGAATAAAAAACCATTGGGCTGGATGCTTCTGGCCCTTTTGTATTGTCTGCCTTAGCCAGGGCAGTCCCTACGTGGGGTTTGCCCTCAGAGTTAGAGCGGGGAGCTGCAAGGGGCAGGTGCTTTATGGGGGACTTGAGTAGCCTTCTTGAATGACAGAAGCAGCAAAAGTGAAGCTCTAAGGACTGTCTAGGGTTTGCTGGATGGTTGCAAAAGTTAATTAGTCAGCATTAGAAGCTAATGGAGGTGCTGGACTGGGTAAAGCAGTGTCCTGTTGTCAAAGATACAAGTGTGATCTCTTCCCACTTGCTATAACTTTGCTATAACTTTCCATTATGGCAAACACATGCTTGCAAGTCAATACATCCCTTTCTATCCTCAAATCAGTGGTCCTGAAGGGGGTGGTGGGAGGGATGTGCCCTGTGGCAATGGTAGCAGTTGCACTTTTCCTGTCCTCCCTCTGCAGCTGGTTTTGGGAGGGTGGCAGGAGTGAGCTGTGGGAGCGTTGGGTGGATGTTCTGGGTGACAAGCCCCTGAGCCATCTTTGGGCTGCTGCCCAGCCACACAGGACAGGCTTTGGGCAGGAGGTATCCACTAAACACCAGCAATTATAATCCAAAGAGACATATCCCCAACACCAAAAATTTTGGAAATGGGAACTAAAGTATCTGTTGTGACAAGGTGACAAGAGTGATGAGATGCACTGTAACCACACTCCTTTGGGCTTCAAGTGGCTGTTACTTGGGTGTGAATGGACACACTTGGGTGGTGTCTAGGGGATTCCTGGACGTTCAGGGCCCTGGAAGGATGGGAGAGCTGAGCTGGCCCTGGGATCTGTGGGACCCAGTGTTTGGAATCAGATGGTCCCTTGGGTGATGGGCTCAGTTGAGGGATGGCTGCTGGATGCAGGAGCAGGACATGCTGTGGAAGGTAGCACTGCCTGGATGTTGAAGCAGGGCTGTGCCACTTGGGACACATTTCTTGCCCCACACGGCTGCCTGGGACAAGTCATCTTTCACCACCTGACTTCTGCAGACTTGTTTGTAAAGGGCTCGTCAGTCCCTTCTGGAAACACTGTGGAAGGCTGCGGGGATGTGGCTATCTGGAAGCATGCCCCATCCCTCTCACAAGTTCTCCCACAACATCCAAGCGCCCTGAAGAGCCTGGCTGTACACTACAGGGACAAAGCCCTGAGTTATTTTCTCTTAACGAGACCACTTTCTCTCTTGCATGGAAAGAATGTTTGGGAGCTTTTTTTCCTCTTTAATGAGGAAGTGTTACAAGATTCATATACCACAGCTAAATACCACTGGTGGCCATCAGAAAGGAAGGACTGGGAATAGAAATAAAGCAACAATTAATTAAGTAAAATAGCAATATCACAAAACCCTAATCATCAAGAGTAGACCAGGCATTGCTGAATAGTAAGAAGAGTCCTCTTCAAAAGCTGCACCTAGTAAGGAAGGATGTTGTGCATTTCACCTTTGCACCTCTGTGGTTTGATATTTCAAGACAAACACATCTGAAAATGTGAGCCTTTATGAGCTGCTAATAGTCTCATCTGCACATCTCAGAATTAGTCAGCATTCCCCTGTGGTCCTAATATCTCATGAACACACATATAATCTATGAGGCTGAGACTGGCTTGGAGACCTGGGAGCCTGTGGTAGATATTGGTCTGCTGACAGCGCCAGGAGAGAGTATCCTTTGAGACATCAAATGCTTTGGTGCCCAGCAAGAGCAGGTCTGTAAGCAGTGCTACGGGCCCTGGCTGCAAACCAGATCTTTTCACAGATGCTGTACTTTGCTAGGCAAACACCCCAACTATATGACAAGGACTGTTAAAGTATGGGCTGCATTAATGATGGGAAAACTGACCCAACTGAGAAGAAATTCCTGCAGCAATGACCATAACATACGGCTCCTCTGTACTGTCTGCCCAGCATAACCACCACGCTTCCAGGAGCCATATCATGCTGGTAGGAATCACAGTTGCTAGCCTTTGGCTCGACTTTTTACATTGCTAAAGCTTATTCTTAATCTATGAAGGATTGAGGGAGGGATGGGAAGGCAGGAGCAGGGATGCAGGACTCCTGGCTCACTCACTTGATGGATCATCAAGTGTCTGGGTCATCCTGCTGCCCATCACTGCTGTAACACAGAGAATCCAACTGCTCTGGGTCACTACCTGTCTCCAGATCTAGTCCTGCTTGCTTAGGCTGCAGGAGGAGATTTTACAGAGACCCTGGTTATGGCTGGGTGCACCGTGCTCTTGGGAGCAGATATGCCAAGTGCTCCCCAGGGACTCAACCCTCTCCCCAGCTCCTACAGACACAGCATGATGTGGTTTTGCCTACAGGGCATTTCAGACCTTGGAAGTGCATGTGGCCTCTGTGTTTACACAAACTTATAAACAAACACAGAATCCAAGCTGTGTCCTGAAATGCTATTTCCATTCTCCAGCAGTTACAGAGGAAGCAAAGGGGCTCATGCTTATGATAGAATCCCAGACTGGTTTGGGTTGGG